CAAATCAAAATATCAACCGCTAACCCAGATGAGATGCAAAGGTCATCCTATAAGCCAGCAGCTTTCTTCAGTTGTGCCTGAAACCTAGATCTGTGCCTGCAGTAAAATGTTCCACTGAGCTAGTTTAGAAACCAGTGACTCTGTAGTGGGAAATTACTTAGTGCACGGATAGAGAGAGTACCATTAGTGGGATGAGAACCAAATACCACAATAAGGAAACCGAACCATTCACAAGGGGACATGTAAAAACACAGCAGCTGATGTTGAACTAAGCTGCACCCAACCGTACAAAAGTATCACTTTTCACATCCTGCAGTTACCAAATGCATGTCTATAATCTTATTGGCAACTTGTTCACTCAAACAATCTGGTTTTCAATTAAGGCTCTGGAACAATAGAAGGAAAATGCATCCTAAGATCCTTCCTTAGATCAAAAAGTTTTAGCTGGAAAATATATTGTATACTACTGTAAAAATATTTGGACAAATAATTACCTACAAAAGTTTAATGTTGGCAAAAATAAAACAAACAGTCAAGTTGTAAAAATACGTACTCTCTGCATATAGTTCTTGCCAGGAATTTCAAACTATTCCATAGCACACAGTTCTCTTAAAACAAGACTCAGACCCACTGCCTCTCAGTCCAAGGAACTTATTCTGAAAGCCACCCACTGACCACCTATATAGGTTTCATCTAACTACTTAAAACCGCAGCAAACAAGTTTCCAACAGGTCAAGTGTACAGTATTATCCTATATAATAAAAGCCTAATATGCTAAGTGTCCAGTCATCCGGTCGTCCGTTCAACCAATCAAAGCGTAACATGCTAATGATATGCTAAGGCTGCTCAACCGCTCGCTATGACTTGCACTGACCACCAGGAGGCAGGCAGTTGACCAGTGAATCAATCGCTATGATATGCACTGACCACCAGGGGGCAGACACTCTGAAGGGTAGGTTAGCTTGCTACTAGCATCCAGCAGATCCAGACTGAGTGAGACGGGTGAGACATGCCCTGGAGCCCTCCCTGCCTGGCCAACCTCCCCCGTCCCTCCCCAGCCCTGATCGTGCACCAGTGGGGCCCCTCGACCTGGCCTGCACCCTCTCACAATCTGGGACCCCCTCAGGAGATGTCAAAGATCCAGTTTCGGCCCAATCCCGCAGGCCAGGCCAAGGGACCCCACTGGTGCATGAATTTGTGCACTGGGCCTCTAGCCATTAATAAGCACAAGTAGTCATAAGGAAGAAGAGATTTGCTTTCTCTTCAGTACAAAAAAGGACACAGAAATTGAAACATACTAAAAATGCAAACTGACCAAATGAAAGCAATGAGCCGGGGACTCAGGAAATGCCAGGTATAAGAGTCCATCAATTGGTCAATGCAGGCAGTCAACTCTGTGATTGATGTTTAAACCTCTCAACTCCTCCACACTCACCCACACCAAAGGAAAAACAAAAAGCCATGCACACTTATTTTTTCAAAGAGCAAATTTAGGGGCTTGCTGTTTTATCTGCTTTAATTATGTTCTTTAAAGGATGTACACAATATCAACTTCCAAAACTCTGTATGGCAACTCAAATTACAGAGTGCAAACTTGGTTATAAACCAAGAAATGTCATTAATTCTTCTAGCATAATAAGTGCTCTTGTGTTCATTTGTTTATTTTTACTTCAGGGATTCATAAACTATTAAATAGGGCACTATATTCAGACATGAAAGCTTATTTCTAAAAGAGTAAATTAATGGAGTCACTCTATTAATCTTATAAATTATGACCCATTTTTCATAAATGAGATACACAAGTAAATCGAATTTTATTATTTTGCTGCCAAACATAAGTATTATATTACAAAAACTGTAACATTTATTCAAAACCGTTTGTGTAAAATATCAAAGTTCTGAATTGTAATAAAATGTTTTATTAGCATAAAAGAGTTTATGAGCAAATGTTACCAATTCCTGCATCATTTCTCCAAAACAGTGGACTGCCATAAATAACAATATATGTAATATTCATTCACCCCCAAAAGAAGAAAGTGGTTCATTACTTTTTTCTTTACTTGTAATAAACTAAATTTCACTAAGTGAACAGTTTACCAAAAAAAAAAAAAAAATCAGGTCATTTGCTTAATAACTTTTTTTTTTTGCCTAATTCAGTTATAGGCTTGATTGATTTGACAATAGAGAATCTGGTCCAATAAAGTGGCTGATTTATTTCTCATGCTATAGCTTTTACTCTAATGTGACATCATAGTAGAATTAAGTCTCTGACATGTAAAGAAATCTTTGTAATTAATGAAAACTAAACATTCTAAGAATGGATATAGGAATATTGTCAAACACTTATATTAAAATCTAATACCTTCTTTTGATAGAATGAAAACTTCCACAAAGATCATAACACAGAGTGTGGACTTGCACACAAAGAATAGTTTAGAATACACCATATATTCTAAATTGTTCTTCTCTACGCTAATAGACCTTATTTTGTGTCTTTGTCTCCCTTTGTAAACTGATTGTCTTTAATTTCTTGAAAATGACCTACCTTCTCTTTGTTAAGATGCAACTTAACACCAAGCATCGCTCATCTCAAAAGTGGTTTCATTTTAAATAAACAGCAGCTTGAGCAAAATCAATGAGAATCTTTGTTCCCGAATCTGGCCCTGAGATGCTCAAGCCAGTCAAGAAGGCGTTTGGGATGTGAGAAATTATAAGGGTGGGAAGAGTTTTTAATGTAGCATCGTAGTCAGTTCTCTAAAACTATTTCTTAAAAATTCTTTTCCAAACTAAAAATGCAAGGCACTTCATAGTTATTTAAATGTCTTTTTCTCTCTTTTTCCTTTTTTGCACACTGCACCATGCCCTCTCACTCTGAGGGTGACTTCCCTGACCCCAGTCTGACACTGCACCGTTAATGTCAGATAAACCATTTAGCCCAAGCACAATTCTTTTCTGTGCAAAAATCTGCTTGAGGTGGAAAATGTAGCAGTTTGTAAACAATAAAGAGCCATGTTTCAGACCAGACAGCTTATCTAACAGAGAAGGCCTTTCATTGGGAACAGTGGGTGGGAGCCTCCGGACATAGTAGCATTTCCTATCACAATGCAGGAGACTGTCTTGGCCTCCATATTTAAGAGTTTAATGGGACGGAGGGCAGAAGGGATAAAAGAGCACAGCTGACAGGACTTTCAGCTTAAACAACAGCTAAGTGAAAAGAACTCTCCCTTCTCGCTCTAGACAATCATCCCGCTTATATTTTAAATATTATTTGGGTTGAAAAATGAATTTGGTTGTTAAAACAGTTGCCCACAGGACAAAGGAACAACAATTATTTACTATCTTTGTATCACCAGACATATTCTATAATATTAATTTATCAAATTGTTCTTTAGGAAATCTTTTTTAATGTATAGTACATGAATTTCTAAATAGAAATCGTAATTTATTTATTCTATTTTACTTACTTTACCTTGGACAGTTTTAGAACCTACTAAGGAAGTTCTTTAATATACTCTTCAAGTGCTACTTCTCCAGATTTTTATTTTCAAATTATTTTTTTTCTATTTTATGAAGTTGGGTGAGGATGAAAAGAGAAGCAATGGCATTAGAATTTAAAATTATTACTACTGTCATTGAAGTGTCTAAAGTTGTTTTTTCACTTTTAAGTTGATAACTAGCTAGCCATCTGCATCTGTGCATCCTGAAAACAGAAAATGTGTTGTACCTTCCTATCAACAATGGATGAAAAACTGGGATTCCTGTTTTAGCTAAAAAGTTGAAACATATACATATATATTTAACATTTTAAAGTAAAAACAGCACAAACAGAATAACAACCTATGATCAAAGAGAATGCTGTGACTCTCAAAGTTGGGATGACACGTAAGGGCACAACATATGATATTACCCATTAAAAATAAATTGCTAGTATTTCCCTGCTTTGTCTATTTTATGATAAATATCTGAAATTCCTCAGATGAATTTAATGTGATTTGAGGGGGTGGGGTAAAGACAGATTCAAGGACTATCTACCCCCGCTTCAATAACAAGAAACTATACAAGGCTTAAAAATAGAGACATTCTTTAAAAGCATTTGCAATTATGGTTTCAGAATGATGTAAGTATGGCTGTATGTTTTCCTTGCACCAAGAAATTCAACTTCATTTATTGAGGATTCTCAAAAAAAATTTGGCCAAGTTGAGAGATTTACTAACATTGTTAAAAACTCACATTTTACTAGAGCAAATATTATTTTTTCAATCATAAATAAAATAACCAGCTATTGAGACCTTTTAAGCCATTATGAATTATCTTTTCATTGCTTAAGTTACTGCTGTTAAACAAACATCCCACAGGGTAGTAAAAGCGGAACACTATACTAACCAGTAGAAAGGGCATGCAAGAAGCTCGCAGACTGTCTCAAACAACACATAGTTTGTTCTCGGTGAAGTGGGATGATGCCTGCCTAGACCACTAGCACTGTAGTTCACCCCCTGATAAACACACAATGAGATTTTACAATTCAACTTGAAGGCACTACTCTGACTTAAACATAATAAACCTATATGAATTATTAAAGGGGTTTCCATAACCTTATTAATAAAAATTCACAGTTAATACTGACGATATCTCATTGCCAATGAGCAGGCACAAATACATTTTTATTTTAAGTATTCACCATTTTTTATCTCATTAACCTTTACTTAGACAAGTACTATTGCATCATTGAAATTGTGATAAATGCTTAGTATCTAAGGAAGACAAAATGTTCCATGTAGATTCCATGAAATTCTGTAATTCCACATAGTAGGGAAACTTAGTTCTTTATGTGTTATTACCAAGCACAGACTATCAATATTTCCCTCCAATTTAAAATTACTACAGAGAACTGACTAAAAATCCAATTTCCTAAAAACAGAACATCTGTCTGGGTTTTTGTTCTCCCTTCCATGGTAAAACATTCATTCAAAAAAGCCACGTTAATTTAAAATTCATCTTACTTTGTATTCTGGAATTGACAAAAGGTGGAGAGAGATTGTCATGTGACCCAAGGTCCCTGCTGGTCATGTGGTCATAGGGAGTCCCATCTCCATAGTTCTGTAAATAAAATAACAGCATTTACATACATTATCTAATTCAATTTTACATGAACAAAAATCAGCACATAAATTGCCCACTAGTGAGTCCTCTCTGACCCAAAGAAATTAAAAGTCCATCATTCTGACCCAGGAACCTCATTATAAGGAACCTGAATTTTCACAGGTACAGTAGTTAAGAGAGGGCTCTAGAGTCTGCAGAGTACAAATTTTCTTCATAATTGTTGTGAAATCTAGGAAACAATAATAATTGAACCAACTTGCATGAAATTGTTGAAGTGGTTAAATGAAATAATGCCTGCAAAACACCTGACATAAAATATATTGTAAATATTACGTTATTTATTTTGATAGGCCCACATTGTTTTTCTGAAAAAAGCAAGGTTGTACTATAAGAGAAAATACCCACAGCCTGTAATCAATAGCTTTTGAAAGACTCAGGTAGAGGCTTTGAAAAAGCAACACATGGTTTTTTATGATATTAAAATTGCAATGTTTGGTTATAGGTTGTTATTGTGGTTGTAAGAGAAGTGGGTCATTCCAAAAGTAATTACACATAGAATATTAAAATTATTATAATACTAGAGGCCCAGCACATGAAATTCATGCACTAGGGGGTGGGGAGTGGGGGGGGGTGTCCCTCAGCCTAGCCTGCACCCTCTCCAATCTGCGACCCCTCAGGGGATGTCCGACTACCGGCAGTCAGCCATCCCTCTCTCACAATCCGGAACTGCTGGCTCCCAACCACTCACCTGCCTGCCTGTCTGATTGCCCCTAACAGCTTCTTCCTGCCAGCCTGATCACCCCCTAACCACTCCCCTGCCAGCTTAATTGACACCTAACTGCTCCCCTGCAAGCCCGATTACCCCTAACTTGCCCTCCCCTGCCAGCCTGGTTGCCCCTAATTGCCTTCCCCTACAGGCCTGGTCCCGCCCAACTGTCCTCTCCTGAAGGCCTGGTTGACCCCAACCACCCTTCCCTGCAGGCCTGGTCACCCCCAACCACCCTCCCCTGCAGGCCTGATCACCCCCAACCACCCTCCCCTGCTGGCCTGGTCACCCCTAACTGCCCTCCCCTGCTGGCCTGATTGCCCACAACTGCCCTCTCCTGCTGGCTATATTATGACTGTGGGCGCTGCCATCTTTGAGGACGGGGCAGTCAATTAGCATATTCCCTCCTTATTGGCTGTGGGTGCCACCATCTTTGTGACAGCATGAGGGTTAGTTAGCATATTCCCTCTTTATTAGATAGATGACTATGAATGAATATCACAAATTTGCATAAATGAGTACTTCTGGGTTTGGACAAAATGTACCACAAAAAAATGGTTTTAAAGCAGACATTAACTTCATCATTATTAAGGTCAAGTCACTGTTTTAATGGGAATTTAAAATTAAAATAATTTTTTAAACTGCCTAGTCACTTACTTTTCGTGGAGGAATTGATAACATATACGAAAGCAAAGCATGTACTTGTATATTATATGGTTCAAATTTCAATCTACAAAGGTGCATTAAGTAGCCCAAAAGGGAAAAAAAAAATGTCATTTTCAGGCTGCACTGCCCATAACGACTAAGTCAAATTTACTTGGAGGTGTCAGTTGGCAAGTTAGCCAAAGGGCAGAATATGCTCACATAAAAATGACAGATACTGTATGAAAAATGAAAATGAACGTCAGCTCACTAGAGCATAACTGGAACCTTAAAGTTCCAAACAAACCTGTACTTAAATTGAATGATGCTGTAATCTGACGCTGTCACTACGTCAGTGCATAGAAAGATGCCACATACCCAGTATGGGTTTTACACTCACTCATTCTTTACCAAGCATAATACTGGTTATTATGAAGAATCCCTACCCTAAAAAGTATCCTAAAAGCTTAACATACATTATCTAATTTAAACCTCTGCATAGTACTGCAAGGTAGCTGATAGTATCACCATTTTAAGATGAGATAGACTTAGGCTGCACGGATACAAGTCAGCCACAATAATCTTTCTCATTCAAACTCCCTGGATTTAGAAAATATAAATAGCAAAATATTGATTCAAATTATTCACCAACGTATTCCCTGAAAAGAATGGCAGAACAGTTAATGAACACTAAATAAAATTCAGGATGATCCTAACCGGATCTTGTTCTCAGAAATATAATTAAAAGTACTGCGTGTATTAAACTGAGAAATAGTAAGAAATTAAGAAGTCTGAATGAACTAAACAATGGAGGGAAGCACTGTCATCTCCTACACTCGCTGTCAAGGAGAATGGATTTATTTCTGCAAGTGCAGACTGTAACATGAGGAGGAGGAAAGATTTCCTCAACCCAACCATATAATGCATTAGAATGTCAAACTCAACAGCTGGTACAAGGGCTGAATAAAGTTACTGGTAAGCTTAGAGACCCTGCTATACCCTGAAGACTAGAGTGAGAACCACAAGGCCAAAGGATGGGTAGGAATGAGTAACTACGGCTTGCTGAATTGTCCTCATTTTGACAGCTTGATTACCTACCTTCCGTGCCTCTTATGCCAAAACAGAAACCACCCCCCCTCCCCCAAATTTATGTGAATACTTAGAGCAAAATGCTCCCTGCGGAATGCTTCGTCTATATAGCTGGTTGGGGGAGGTACAGATGGTTGCTCAGCTATGGGCTCTAAGTCTTTTTTTAATTTGGGGCATTACATGCATACTATAAAAGCGGACATGGATTCTACAGAGCCTAGAAACGATTCAGGTGAGGTCAGATTATATAAGTTGGAAGGAACATAAAAGACCCTCTGGTTCTACTTCTTCATTTTATCACTTAGGAAAATGAAGATCAAAGAGGTGAAATGACATGCCCAAAGCCATACACATACAAAAACATGCATGGCCTAACCATTCCTTTCCCTCCCATTCCGTGGCCATTCTGTTACACCAAAACTCACAAACAATTAATAATGGAGGAAATCCATGAAAAAGAATAGCAAAAATCTGAGACCAAACAAATGAATGAATCTCATTAGTGACCAAAGGCACTACTGGTGGAATAATAACATGTTCACAAAGTGAAATCAACACAGATTTATTATGTAGAGTATATTGATAGGCTAGTCCTTCACACTACATCTTCAGAATTATTCAGTAGTCTATTTACACCAATATATTACAGAGATACAGTACTAGGATTTTTTTCCAAAGTTGTGCCAGCTACAAAAAATAACTTTCTATAATACTAGATCAATAACTGGCAAAGTAAGGGCAAATATTTAATGAAGGATTTTTCTTCTGGTTAGCAGAAGTAGAACAGGTGTCAAATTCAATAACAGCATCCAATAAGAGAATGAAAAAAAAATCCAAACACAAGCTGATCCTCATTAAACTTAGTGCGAATATATATCTGTGCAGTTGTGTGTGTGCTTGAGAGAAACTCACCTTCGCTCTGTCAATTTACATATGCGGGGTATCTGAATGTGGGAGAAGAGATTAGATATACTTACCCTGGACGGGCTTGGATGTCCTCCATTCCCCCAGGACCCTGAGCTACTTCTGTCTTCTACATCTAGGGACAAGAGAAAAGTTCTTTAGGCTTTCTTGCAATAATTCTTTTCTTTTTGTGTATGCACTTTTAAATTAATGTTTCAAATTAATCTCCTGTTGCCTTTAATTAAGAATCAGGCACAGGGCTACCACAATGATAGTGGCTTCTGACCCATCTACTTAAATTAACTCATTTAAATTCACAGCAAAAAAAATGAACTGGACCCTCAGGAACCAGAGATATGAGCATAAAAAGTACTTCCATCTTTCACAGTGTTTCATAGCCTTGACTTTTATAGACATGAAACTGCGCTGCATGTTTTATTTAAATCTTTAGGACAAAATAAGTGTAAATACACCAACACAACCTTAATACAAAAAACACAAAAATACAAAGCTAAATTCAGGTAAATATTCATACTAACACTGGCAGCATCCATGCCATAATGCTCCTGAATACTCTGGTCTCTAGCCCCGCTTGTCACACCAAGCAACAGACATGCAGCAACATACACAGGACAAAAAAGAAGTTGGTCATCTATTTCTACCAGTGCACTATATGGACATCAGGATTTTGTTTTTTAAGTTGAGACAACACTGTCTCAGTCTTTCTTTTTTTAATAGAGTTGGCCAGTTGGCCTACAATCCTTAATCTGGGCATTGAGATGTGGAAATTAAAGTTGTCCAAGTTTTACTTTGATAAATGACAGTAGAGCGACCTACTTGAACTACGGGAAAAGCTGGCATTCTTCTAAAATCTGCAGCAGCAACGTTCTAATGCTGACCAGTTGCTGAATGCTCAAGTGACAAGTACTCGGGATGGAGAATATAAAAACTAAGTTATCATATTAATTGCTTAAAACATAAAAGTGGTTTAAAATTTTAGAGATCAGTCACTCTATATTTAGAAGCAGCTTTGAGATTTTTGATGAAAGGCCCCTTAGAAGCATAAAAAGTTTCGCTGTTCTATTATTTTGATCACGGTTGATAACAGATGGCCATCACAAACTTCCTCTGACAGCATTGGAGGAGGAGGTGTGAATTGGTTCAGC